GTTCGAAGTGTTGCCTATGCTTTTGACTCATCATTCTCTTTCGCGTAAAGTTTGGACTTTATTTTTGAATATTTTTTTGAAGTTTTAGGCGTTTGGAGATGCATGTTCTAATCTACAGTTACACTTGGGACAAATTAGGCTATTTGACATGTGACCACCAATGTGACAGTCTACTTCGGATTTTCACGTTTAATTCAATGTGTTAGCCTACTTGCTGTTTGTAACTGTTTAAGAAATTTACTAGCAATGGATTTGGGATAGAGTTAGTCCTAATTATAGACTATTACAGTGTCTTTTTAAGATTTTTCAGCATTTTTATTAATTTATCTGCTAAATTATTATTATTATTATATTATTATTTAATTATATTTTTTTACATCATGTGTATGAGTCCGTCTGACGCATTAAAGACATTTAAAACCCAAAAAACTCTCTCTTTTAAAGTATTTCTCTCTTGTGCCCTCTTGTGTTCCCCTGTGTAACTTTTAATACTTCTAACACTGATTTGTAATCAGTTGCTTAACATGTATTTTCATTTTGCCTGTTCATTATCAACATATCAGCTTTGTGCTCCATCAAACCCCTCTCCTTATCTAAAGGGTAACAGGACACTCACACAGCAAACTGACCGGTAGCTGCAGTGTGTCGTCAGTGGTGTGCTGTCCGTGGTGCTGAAGCTCGTAAGTCTCTTGGGGACCATTGACGGTCTTTGCTTGGACACGTGATTAAATTGTCCGAATTTTAAGATCTAACACTTTGTCTTAAGGTTTGACAACGGCACAACTAGGTAACGAGAGCGAACAAACGCAGATGAGCACAAACTATGCAAATCAATAGTCACAATTATCGCGTCTCAACAGTTTCATCAGTTCATTAAGCAGGCAAACGACCGACCTGTGACCCTGCTTTTAATTAGAGTCCGATTAAACCATATAGAGAGGCTCCAAGCTGTGCATCAAACACCCACTGTACACATATCAAACTGTTTGTGGACAAATCGATTGTGCATGTGTCTTGTAATCAAGAGGGGCAAAATAGAGGGGACTGGAGAAACATCTCATGAATTGCAAATTAAAGCGGATCCCTTCAAGATTAACCCATGGCACAGACAGAGCAAACAAATGACAATATATCAAAGAGCATCCGAGTTTACATAACCGAATTTCATATAGCCTACAGTACAATCGTTTTAATAATAAAAATGCAAAACTATTAAATGTTATTTGATCATGCTGCAGATTATACAACTGCTGTTGTTGAGTCATTAAATACAAACAAACAAGGTATTTTGAGTCATTTCCCTGCTGAAAACAAACAAACAAAAAACAACTGAAACCAGCCTAAGATCACTGGCTGGTTTTAGCTGGTCTTCCAGCCAGGTCATAGTTGATTAGCAGGCTGGTTTTAGCGTGGTTTTGACCACTTCTTCTTCTTCTCCACTGACTAAAACAGCTGAACGCCATTGACCAGCTTAAACCAGCTATGCCCAATTTAAAACTTGCTAAGACCAGCCAACCAGCATAGGCTGGTTTTAGCTTTTTTCTTTATTTTAAATTTAATTTAATAAAATTTTATTTTTTTCCCAGCAGGGTTTCTGTAATCTTTGTTTTGTCGTCCTCTGGCGCCCCTAGCGTCCAGCTAAACATCAAATTCATTTTCAACAAAATGCTACACTATAAAAATTATCTTTAATACTTTTTTACTTCAGAATTTCATATTTAATTGATGTGCCATTTCGTTGTAACTGTTTTACTTTATTTACTAGCAATTTATAAGTGAAAATAGTTTCTACACCTATTTTTTCCAGCATACAGTAGGCTTATAGGACATAGACTATTCATTATGTTCTAAAAGAAAGGTTTGTACTTTTGTCGCAAATTTTTGTATCATTTTAATGCCAGATGAAAATACGCACTTTGACTAAAACTTGCAATTTTCAATATGCACGTGCAATTTTCTAGCTTCAATGCAACCATATATTTTGCTGTCCCTTGTTATTGATAAATAATTCATGAGCGCTCAATCCAATCAGTTATTCTGTTTATCCGACTCCTCTCAGGCGCTAGTCGCTTTCTTTCTTCTTGATGTCAGAGACGCGTCCTAAATAGCCGCAATATTCGCTAAACGCTCAATATTCGCAGCCCACTGGCGGAGCTCAGTATTTTGAGTCAGGGTGGAAAATATTTCAGCATTCTTAACGAGGAGCCCGGAGCGATTTGCGTACATGCGCAAGGGCAGCAGATGTCGAGCTGCGCTCCCGTGAGACCCGATCTGCGGAATTTCATCATCGTGTCGGGATGACCCTGCGCTATCCCGGAGAGGAGAGCGAGAGAAAGGCTTGTGTACGTGGTAAATCACCTTTACAATGGCTTGTAATCATGAGGCCCTAAAGGACTAATGCATGAGCGACCCCCTTCCCCATCCAAACTAATCTGAAACACTGCTGCTATCAATGCAACTTACGACTTTGTATATTGGGCCAAGCTGATGAGCCAATATCACTTCCAATTCACAATCAGACTTGTCAACAGTCAACTGCCTAATTCCCTTTAATCGGACCGACAAAACCCAGCTCCTTCAAAAGACAGTCCACAGGAACGAGTATATTATTGCAATAATGCCTGCCTGTTTATCTACAGCATGCTCCTCTGTATGCTCGAGATAAGAGTTTTTATTAAGAGGGCAGCAGTAATGTCCTGTGTTCGGCTTTCAAAGCCCAGCAAATAACCGACTTTATCTTGCGTATGCAACTTACGACTTTGTATATTGGGCCAAGCTGATGAGCCAATATCACTTCCAATTCACAATCAGACTTGTCAACAGTCAACTGCCTAATTCCCTTTAATCGGACCGACAAAACCCAGCTGCTTCAAAAGACAGTCCACAGGAACGAGTATATTATTGCAGTAATGCCTGCCTGTTTATCTACAGCATGCTCCTCTGTATGCTCGAGATAAGATTTTTTATTAAGAGGGCAGCAGTAATGTCCTGTGTTCGGCTTTCAAAGCCCAGCAAATAACTGACTTTATCTTGCGTATTAAGCTTCGTATTTAAGCTGCCCAATAACAGGCCGTTTTTGCATTCGGCTGCTCAGAAAGCACACACCAGGGAGCCCTTTCGGTGGATCCGCTTTGGTGTTAGAGGATCTGGCGTTCAAAAATAATGGCAAACCAGCCTTTCATCGCCACTCAACAAAGCTATAAAAGACATTTTATGTCGGAAATAAATAATAAATAAATAAATGTTACTGTTTCAAAAGTTTCTTGAAACGAAAAACAAATAAGGGCAAGCATTCTACTTTTTGACAGTTGTCATTTTGAAAGCCAGATCGTGTCTTTCCAGTAAACAAATGGTTTAAAACAATTAATAAAATAGTTAATTATATGAAATATCTTTATTTATCTATGTTTATCTATTAAAATATGAGGAGATTATATTGTCTAATGCACACACCTTGTGTTCCATTAAAAACACTCTTACACTCAAAAAAAAAAAAATGCTGGGTTAAATATGGACAAACCCAGCGATTGGGTTGTTTTCAACCAACAGTTGGGTTAAATGTTTAACCTTCTGGGTAGTAACCCAACCGGCTGGGCCAAAACAACCCAATCGCTGGGTTTGTCCATATTTTACCCAGTGCTGGGTTGTATTTTATCCAGCATTTTTTAGAGTGTAGAGATCACATGTGGGTTCTCAAATAAGCATCAGGTTTAAAGGAACAGACCACATGAACAAAAAAAAATGAAAATTTGCTGAAGATAACTCACCCTCAGGCCATCATAAATTTAGCATTAGGTCACTTACTCACTGGCTCCTTGGCTGTGAATGGGTGCCGGCAAAATGGGAGAACAAACAGATAAAAACATCACAATAATCCACACCACTTCAATCCATCAAATAATACCGTGTGAAGCAAAAAATGATTGCTAGAGAGAAAAAAATGACAAGGACGTTTTAACTTTCAAGTTGCTTCTGGCCTAAATACCAGTCCATAATCTATAATAACACTTCCTTCAGTGGAAAAAATACATAATCTGTTCAAAATCACCATCACATCAAAATACACCAACATATTTGATTAGAAATGTTTTGGAATCTTTTCTCTTGTATATTGTGCTTGATCTCTGCATATTTCTCCCCTGATTCAGACGAGACTACAATATTATGGATAGAGGAGTCATATTTAGCGGAAACAACAGTTTTATGTTAAAAACGTCTTACAAGCACCCAGCTTTTCACTTGATGGACTGGAGTTGTGCTGATTATCAGTTTTTCACACTCTCATTCTGACGGCACCCATTCACTGCAGAGGATCCATTGATAAGCAAGTGATGTACTATTGCTAAATTTCTCCTAATCTGTTCAAATGAAGATGGCCTGAAGGTGAGTACATTTTTAGTCAGCAAATTTACATTTTTAGGTGAGCTATTCCTGTAAGCAGTTAGCACTGCCATTGAACTACAGCTCTGAAAAGTAACTATGGCTTATAAAAATATTAAAATAAAGAATAAGCAATCATTATCTAAGCACCATTGTCTGAACTGAATGTTGCGCGCTGCAGTGAGCATTAAGCGCAAGAGGGACGAGAGAGAGAGAGAGAGAGGTGGAGTTGTTCAAGGTAGTCTCTTCAACAGGCTCGCGCGAGTTCACTCCTAGACCTGCAGTGTAGACAAGACAAGGCGTGGACAGACTATCCCACAAGGATGTATGCCAGGAGCGCATGGATCAATTATGGATTGTATGGGGTTCTTGCGTGCTTTAACGAGTGTCAACATTTGGATGTATGATTTAATACGCGGCAAGTAATTTGGAACAGAAACCGGACGATCTAAATGAGTCAACAGTTGGATGCACCTGAGAGGGAACCTCTGGATAAGACCATGACGCTGCTTTGGAATCAGAGAGAACCATCTGTAAAATGACTTGGAACTCCAGAGCGCTGCGATGACTTCTCCACGTTTTCTGTAAGCTGGGCGAGGAAATATATCCACAGCTGCACAATGGATTTACAAAACTCTAACGGGTCATCTGGGTCGGACAAGCAGAAGCCCAGTCTGATAGACTTGGGGACGTTTTTCGTGGACGCCGACATCATTTTTGGATTTACTAGTCATCTGTTAAAGCGAAAAGCCAAGGTAAGCCTTTGAGAACGGACAAAAGACTCCGCAAGTTGACTCATTTAGAGCTCAGCAGACTCCACGTGGGTTGTTTCGCTTAAAAATATTGTGGTATTTAAAGGCTATGCTATTTTTGGGTTCGCAAATATGAATCCTAAGTTTTCGTTGGTTATAATGTGTAGCGGTTTGTTCATTTCAGCACCACGAACAGCTCTCATCCACCAATTGCGCTTTTAGCAACTTCCCTAAAAACATACAAAATACATTTCATTACAATGCAGTAAGTATATCAGATAAAGCCCTTCATTTTGAACAACATTTTTTTTCACCCGATAGTGAACTTGGTGCTTGATTAAAAGTTTCTCAGCGATCATGTGATTTTAGTAATTTAACTCAGTAATAAAAATTTACTACAGCTAGGTTGAAGTTTTCCGTTTAAATCATGAAAATAAGAAACACTTAAAGCCAAAAAAACAACATCAGTCTGATGTGTTAATAAACCACTAATAAGGTCCACAAAAACAGACAATAATGTTCAAATAGAGGTTTATTAGAGATTAAGTTATAAGTCTACAGGCTACAAATATTATAGATGGTCACAAAAGCTAAATTTCTGCCAGCAAATACTGTAGTTTTCTTCGCCCACGTCAAACGGTCCGTTATTGATGGTTTATTGGACCACTTGCGCTGTCACAGACAAAGGACTGATTGAGTTTTAATTTTTTTTGAGGCGGGAGATTGACAGTATTTGGGTGGCAATTTAATGTCACGTGATCCCAGCATATACATCATCAACATAAAATATTTAGAGATCAGTAATTAAATATTCAAACATTCTCACAATTTATTGCAAACCGAGAGGTTTGTAAGATGCAGTTGAGTAAAATACCAGAGGGTGGCGCCAGAGTAATAAGCAAAAGAACTCCAACAGACCCGCAATCTCAGTCAACACAAGTGAACTGTAACATAAAAGATGACGTAATTTATGTTTGAAGCTATTTTTTATTTATATATATATATTTTCAGACATACAACTTGGAAAGATGAGTGCACAGGCTGTTGCTTACAATAATACCAATAATACACATTTTTTTTAAAAATTATGAACCAGACATGCAGTCGTGATTTTAAGCAATTTTGATTACTTCACACGAGTTACTCAGTTCTTTAACGCACACCTCTTATTACAAACACATAATTAATTAAACTGTGAATTGAAATCAATATTATTTTCACTTTTTGTTTGTGCAAACGCAGTCTAAACTCTCTGAAACAGTGTCTGAATAGCTACTGAGCGCTCAGCTCCACCCCTCCAGCCAAGTAACCGAGCCGCGTACATTGATAGCAGTCAAACTTCACTCCTGCGTACGCGCGTCGTCATGGAACTAAAGCAAAGCAAAACTTCACGGGAATTGAGTTGTGCTTTTTCCTTTGCGCTCCCACTGACTATCCATGAACTGTGTTCCTAATCAATGAGTGTAGACAAACAGAGACGCAATAAAGTGCACTAGATGTCCGCGTTTTGATCAATTATACCGAGATGATGGATTTAACACAGGGGAATGCGCAAGGAGAGTTCCAGATCAGCCGGTCAACTGTAAGTCCTCTAATAAACAGCTGATGCTGAGAAGTTACAGTATTCTATTTGAATTCCAAAGCTTGCTGTTTGTGCATTGTTGTTGAGTAATTTGCAACACGTTTAGAAAGTTTAATCACGCTTTTATTTTACGTGTATAAAAAAAAAAAAAAAGTAAAGCTACATAATTTGTTATTATAATATAATAAACAATTAGTAATATGCAATTAACTGTAATCTGGATGTTCTACATTTATAATGAGCTATTTTTGACAGATGTTAAATATATGGAGTCTTTCTGTATCTTGACGTTGTTGTCTTTCATAAAGGTGGAAGGCTGTTCGAGCGGAGAGTCTTCACTCTCACTTGAGCTGAGCCCGAGGAAGAGACTGTCAGCGGAGGAGGAAAGGTGTGCCAGCAGACCCCCACCTGAAGGCGCAGGAGCCGTAAGCCTCTCTGAATCCGACAGGGAAGAGACTAAGCCAGATCTGTGCAAGCAATGTCAGATGACTATAGCTGAACTGAGGAGACAAGCTCTCGCTCTGTCCGACCCTGCTTCCTTTAAGGTCAGTGAGTGAGAAACATTATTTCAGTGCCTTTGCAAAGCAAACAAACACATCCAAGACAGGGGAATTCAGTTGCTTTGCAATTTATAGCATTTTTAGCACTAATAATGTTATCTTTCAACTGTTTTGATTCATGCAACATTGCATGACTAAGAATCTTTTGTTAGTTTGAAGCAGCACTTGACTTTCACTTGAGCCTTAGAGCTCTGGAAGTCCGCCTTGTTTAATTCTGTCACTCGGCTCTTTTCAAAGCATCGTGAAAGCCTCACATAAATCAGATGCACTGAATGCCTCTTAAAGGCCATTTTGTGTAAAATCTCACGATCTGATGAAAAGTTGACACAAATAAGCCGTCTTTGTAGTTTTATGACTCCCTTATCAGAAAACCGATATCCTATTCAGGCTCCTATTCACAAAGTTCACCAGGTCATCAAAAGGTTAATCTTTTTACTATACCAGCACAGAGAGCAAATATTTCAATTACATATTTTGCAAACTATAGGCTTTGTTGCACTTTAGAACGATCAGTAATGCATTGAAATCATATTCAGTCTGAAATACATATAGGCTTGGATAAAATTGAGAGCAACACAAAATGCTGTTTGAAATGCTCATTGCTGGATGTTTGGTTTATGGTCAAAACAGTGATGAAACCTCATCAAGCCTTGAGTGGGATGGTTGGAGTGAGATGTGAGAAGCTCAGCTGTGTGGCACAAAGTGTCCCCATGCTTGCCAATGCAGAAAGTGGATGGGCATGATGTACAGAGAGCAATCTGGATGAAAAATGAACTATTAAAGTGCCACTAAATTTACTGAAACAAAGTCTTATCTGAAATGGAAATTCATATGGAATTCTTATTAACTTGAGGTTACATTTCTATTGTAGTTAATGCTGTTTAAGCAATATCACATGAGCAAGAGTTGATGTTGATCTCACTCATAAATAGAGTCACTTAGTTAATTTTGAATTAATTGAGTGAATGATTCAATGACTCACTTATAAAAACAGCCATTTTTAGATAGATAGATAGATAGACAGACAGATAGATGCCAGTATTAAAAATCTGGCTTTTCTACTTGATTCTCACAAAAAAGCTCACAAAAAATTGAAACCGTCCAGATCACCAACCGTGCGTTTTGTTTTGATGAATGCTGGTAAACTGAAGCTACAAAACCACTCGTCATTGTTTGTTTGGAGTGTTCACAGTCTATCTGCTCATTCCTAAAGCCAAGAAATGTCTGTTTTTTCTTACAACCTTCCGTTTCTAGAGTTTTCAACAGCTTTTCTTACTTTCACACATTGTATTCACACAGTATGCGCGAGTGCCAGTCTCTGAGAGTCTGTGGACAGGGGAGGGGGCTATTGGAAGTGGCCCATTGTTTTGGGAAACAATGCTTATCTCCCCTCTTGTCCGTCGACATTGGGGGGAGAAAACAGTCGAGCGGACTCGCTGTACAGTCTGTGGAGGAAGTGCAGACCCAGTTGACCTTCATCATGCATTCAAAGTGTTCCTGTATACTCCTCATCAAATTCCCACCACAGTTAAATATAGGCTGTCGACTTTTTATTGATTCCTCATTGAAATGTTCTAAAATCTTAAAATTTGTTCAGAACTGGGTTTCTTCCAGGAAATGTGGGGTCAGCATCGCAGCCCCGCGTGTGACAGGCCGTTTATTTGCAGTTTTCTTCCAAGCACACGCTCGCAGGTGGCAATTAGTCTTTCTTCACGCCCCACAGCTTTTAATGGCTTCACTCTTTTTCACCAGGTTTGCTTTCAGCCTGCACCATCCTTTGTTTTATTATTTATTACCAATGATTCCCTCAGCTGATATCAGTGAGGAATGGTCTCTTCTCTTCAAACAATAAAGAAGCTCTCTCCTCAGTAGTTCATTCACTTCAATGTCAAGGCACTTAACACCTGAACAATGCCTGAGGATGGAATGCCTGGAAGCTTAACACGGGACAATGGACAAAGACTTCATTGCCTACAATGATTGGCACTTAACTAGTCACAAAGCTCCAGAACATAATCGCAATTTAAAAATGGCCAGCGTTAACCCTAAATCATCATGTCCGGCTACGATAACCATTAACCGGTAAGAATGAATCTGCGACGTCTAACGTCAACTTCTTTCACTCCACTGGCTGTCCGCTTCGATTACAAGATCACTCAACAAAATTTAAGGCCATTCGCACCTGGGTTAGAACAATCTAGCAGTTTGGAATGTAGCGTTCCCAATCCCATTATTGTGATGAAGGACTACATGGTATATGGTATCACGTTTAATAAGATGAATATGCGCTTGGGGGCGGCCGTTATTTCATCTCCATTGTCCAAAGAGAGGCACTGAATTGTCTGTCATCAATTATAATAGCCACTACAGTTCTAAGGGCCTATAAGCTCTCTGTTGTGCCATGTAAGAAGTTTAAAGTCCGTTCACCAGGCAGGTCGAAAACACCTGCACCCCTCCGTCCTTCAAATGCTGGGTGAAACCTTAGACGACAGTTGCAATGAGAATACTTAGCTCTTCTTTGTTGTCAGTCATCTCCCTGAACTCTCTTGTGACCAGACCTCCTAAAAACCCATGGGAGGATCATCTAAAGCAAAGCTAGATGGATTTGCAGTTTGCCATTTTCATTTCAAGCACTTAACCCCTGCAGCTGTGTGTCTATATGTGCGTATGAGCAACATTGTGCCTGTAACCGCCATGTGAAAGGTCAGTGAGGTAGGCTGCTATGGGATAAGAATCATAACCAAGTATGAAAATGGGTGGACCTCGACTGATTAGACTACAGTACATTGTCATGGGCAATAAAGATGGAGATCTTTCAGAGCGGTGGCCGATTGTTTTATTCAATTGGAAGTTGCATAAGCCACTTAGATGTTATATTGTATGCCAGGGCTCAAAAGAAGAATCCTGAAGGTGTAGATAGGCTTGAAAGGACATGACATTTTAAAACTTTTCCGTTTTAAAAAGCAAAACCTAGAGTTCTACACTCTTAAAAGTAAAGGTTCCAAAAAGGGGGTTTCATAGCAAATGCCTAGAACAGTGGTCACCAACCTTTTTAGGCCCAATATCCCTGACCTCAGCCTTTATGTATGAACAGGGTTGCCAGGTTTTCGCAATAAAACTAGTCGAATCGTGTTTCGAGGAGGTTTCCCCCTGTAAAAATCGCATTCCGGGGGTAAAATACACGTTTTTCGGTGGGGATCTTCCAGTAAAATTCACATTCCAGGGGCTAAATATCACGTTATTGGGGTCGCTTCAACCCGCGGACATGAACAACAACCCGCGGCAACAATGTTAAAGGAGCCCAATTCTGCGGAAAAAACGCGGACTTGGCAACACTGCTTATGAACTGACCACAATATAGCGTTCCCTTGTTTACCGCTGTAAACAAAGCAGAGCTGCGCTTTATACGGAGAAGAAAATGCCTTTGACATCGAAACTTTTCTTAACACAGTTCCCTTCAGTGATACATTAATATAACCCCAGAAATGTAATGCATTTTTTTTACTTATTTTACTGTTATTTTCGGGATCTACTGGGACAGTGATAAAGATCTACCAGTCGATCGCCGATCGACGGGTTGGCGACCACTGGCCTAGAAGAACCATTTCGGGTTCCTCAAAGAACCTTTCAGTTAACAGTTCTTAAAATAAAATTTTCTCTAAGTGTGAAGATCATTTGAATAATCTTAAGAACCTTTTTTCCACTATAAAAAAACTTTTGTGCTGTGGAAAGTTTCTGTGGATGTTAAAGGTTTTCCATGGAACCATATATGCCAAGAACATTCATTTTTAAGAAAGCATCTTTGCTTTTAGAATCAAATGCATCTGTAAGACTCATGTTGTCATGAGCAGTTGTTAAAATAACCTTTTTTTTTTTTTAGTTTGAAGAACATTTCAATAATCTGAGGAACGTTTTTCCACTATAAAGAACCTTTTGTGGATTGTGGATTGTGGAACGTTTCCGTAGATGTTTTTGTAGAGCCATAGATTCTAAGAATTGTTCTTTTTTAAAATGTATTCTCTCTTTATTAAGTGAAATGCGTCAATAAGTCTCATGCTGTCATGCACAGTTCTTAAAAGAAACATTTATTCTCAGATTGAAGAACATTTTAATAATCTGAAGAACCTTTTTCCATTATAAAAAAAAAACTTTTGTGTATTGGAAAGAATGTTAAGGGTTCTTCATGGAACCATCAATGCCAAGAATGTTTCTTTTAAAGAATGTATCCTCTCTTTATAGAGAGAAATGCGTCAATAAGCCTTACGCTGTTGTGAGCTCATCTCAATTTCCAGGTTACTTTAAATGTGACTGCATGCCCAACGGCACTGTTCAAATGTTTATTCTGAGGACAATTATTTCCTCACACCCCTACCAGAGAAAAGCTCACCGTTCTCACGAGAAGCGAGGCTGGTTGAAGCGGAGTTGAAAGCCTACTGGAAGTCCTGGTTCGACTTGCTTACTCCATTTCTTCACTTTCAACCCTGCAGGGGAAGTTTGCCTAGCACATGCCACAGCAGACACTGTAAATCACTCAAGTTGTATTGCCTTTAATAGTTTCTCATTCAATTCTGCTCCTGTGCCCTTTTCTTGTACTTTCGTATGCTTGGAGTTTGCAAGAAATGCAAAGCTGTTGATCAGAACATAACAACAGGAGAATTGTGACGAAACATGGGGGCGGATGGCATCTGTTGAACCTTTTCACGCCAACCCACACCTGATTCCTTGAATTGTCTTTTCATTACGTATCTCTAATGTCATTTGAAAGAAAAGTGTTGTGACAATGTTTAATGACGTTTAAAGAAAAATCCTTTTAAAATCTAGTTTAAAGCACATGTGCCAAGTTCTTTGAATTGCATATTTTGTATTTATATGTTGTTTTATATGCAGGAATTTCAATAAAAGTTAACATTTTTAATTCATTTATTTTAACTGTTAACATTTATAGTGATTTAATAAAACAAAAGTTGCACTGGATGTAACTAAAG